GGGGAGGGGAAAAAAAAAAAAAAAAAAAATAAAAGGGGCTCAGCAAAAAACGTGTCGAGAGTGACTCATCTCATCGAGCTGTCCAGATGTCAGAGGAAATATTGAACTGTATCTAAACGCTGCTGCCTCCTGAGCGGCTCTTTAGATCCAGCCAAAATCTAATTGTTCTGGCGATAGATGTTAACACAGCCGAGGGCAAGCGGCGAATAGCGGGGGCTGGGAGGAGCGGATCTATTTGTTGTAGTTAAAAGCTCTATTAGAAATTTTAGCCAATAAAGAAAATAAGCGAAGACCTGATGAAAACAATCAAATTCACGGAGAGATTATGCGAAACCACCTCCCAGCTCTGGCGGGAGGAGACCGTGGCCGAGGCTGCGGCCGAGCAGCAGCGATCGAAAAATGGGTCCGATCATCCCGACCAAGTTCCCCCGGGCAAAAGGGATTTGGAGCATCCTCAGCCGGTGAATGTAGTTCACCACAGAGCCCCGAACAAGGTTCATTTCCAGCATGTAGTAGATCCAAATTTATATTTCCCTGTTTGCTTTTCTTTGTCATTTTATGGCGTGGGGTGAAGCCGCATCCCGGCTGGACGGGAGACACCGGGGCTGCGATGGGGCGGGAGGTCTCTACTGGGCAGGAGCTGACAAAGGCAGCACCCGCGTTGCTCCCCAACGGCTTCCCCAACAGCTTCCCTCCCCCCAGGCTCCCCCATCCCTATTTTCCTATAACCCTCAGCTGCCCGAGAATGGCAGTTGGGGTCCGGGGAGCGGGTGACCCCTACCTCCTGCAGCTCCCGCAGCCCCGGATTTGCCGGGAGCCTCCAGCAGCATCTGCAGCTCCTCTCCGCCTCGGAGAGGGGGAATAAACAACTCTTGGGAGATGAATAATTTATCAAAAGTCAAGGGAAAAGGCAGGTTTCATCTGCGGGCTTGGACGAAGGTTTTAATGAGGGAGAGGGGACAAATCGCGGGGCAGAGCCGCATGTCGCTCATTTACACTGCCACAGCCGCAGCCACAGCCAGGCCGGTGGGATCAGACTGGCTGGGTTCAGGCTAAGACCACCGGAACAGCT